GCAGAGAGTTCTGTCTATTGTATGCTTTGCCAAATCTCAGTGACCGAACTGCTTAACATAGTATGAATACACACAAAAATATTTATACATTTATCAGAGATATTAATGATATTCTTTTCTCTCAGAAAGCCTGAAAAACTATACTCATTTTTCACATAACCCCTAGTAGGTACTTCCTTAGTGAATGGTTCTATGGCGGACAAGCAAAGTCTGATGTCACCAACTGTGTAGATAGTTATTGCCTGATTTGGATTTTGTTTAATTCTCAGTCATAGATTCCTGAGACTTGATGAGACATTTATGTGAACCATGATCCCTGAGAGTGCGGGCAACATAATTGTCTTCTTGGTCACCACTTATAGCTGTCTTCTAGGACAATGTCTGGCATAAAGGCACTCAATAGACAATTGTTGATACGTTAGCAATGAGAGGATCCAAAATCATAATAATTTAGCACAGTGTACAACATTAAGCATATGTTTAGTATTCATTAAATTGCCTTGACTATAATGCTCATAAAAAGAATCATGCTAGGCATTCCAGAACTAAGTAGGCATTATATTTGAATTATCAGCTGTTTGGGATTATCTGTGGGGCTCCTCCCCATTTTTAGGATAGAAAATTGAGATCTTACTGCACAGCAAACTCCATAGTTCTGAGTAGTCTTCAGTTTCCACTGGACTAGCTTAGTCTATTTCAACTATGGCACAGTCTTAAAACTACAGCTTACCATGAAATGAAGTACAGCTCATTAATCTAATAAGTTGACCTCTTTCTAATTAGCATTTTAGTTATTTCCTTCCTTCTTTCCATTCTGAATGTCATATAAGAAAGTAAATGCCAAAAGGCAAGGATATTGACAGCATGGCAAAGTATGAAAATGTATAAGAATAGTGAGTGACTAGTAGGCAAACTTGATGGATAGACTCTTGACATTATAATGTATTTATTGTCCATTTTCCTGGCACTTGAGCTCTCTGTATTGTACCAGGTCAAGTTACAGAAGTTGCAAGATTCTATTCACTCATTCCCTCTGATTTCCATAAGAATTAAAGTGGCTTCGTTTTGATTCCAACAAATGTAACAAAACAGTTTTTACATTAGGTTTAATGAATCTGAAAAACATAGATAGCGAATAGGAGAACACTCCAAATCAAAAAGATCACACACAGCTAGTCTTCTTTTGACTTATGATTGGCAGGTTGCCTGTAACATGGATTTCATTTAATAGGAAATAACTTTTAACATATATAGCATGAAATTATTTACTTCTGAATAAAGCAATCAAAAATGATTATGGGAGATAGAGTTTGTGGGGGTAAAATGATGCCACACATCCGATATCACTGATTGAGTAAAGAAGAAAAGTGTTTAAATAAATGCATGCTATCATCTTGTCTATGTAACTGTGCTACATGAGTTCTCCAGGATATATTAGCTTTCTCAAATATTAATAAATTAATTTTTATATAATTAATCACAAAATAGGAATACTTAGGTAGTTGGAAATTCTAATGCAAGGCCAAGTTCTGCCACAACAGGAAATTTTTTTATTACACATAAATTTAACTTAAATTTAATTTTTTTGCCTATTTTTTAAAGAAAAATCTTGTACCTTATGAACAGACAATTTTCTTCCTTTTAAGTAGAGTTTTGCAAATCTCTAGCTGAGCCATTATAAAGATCTTTTAACATGCTCTTTTGTATTTGAAATATCTCTTGCTTGAAATTAAATTCAGTCCTAAAATAGCTACTATATCATCTCCTAACCACTTCCCATTAGTAACAGCAAACTCCAGAGATTAGAAGAGCAGCCTCTGTAGACCTGGAAACAGAACCTTATGGATGATTTAGGCATAAGACTTGACTGTTCCTTAAGGCACAACACATGATATTTGTTAATATTAATGCCAGACAAAAATGAAAGCTGACAAAAGTGAAATTATAGTAATGTAGAGACTAAATCTAAACAGAGTTCAGATTTCATCTTTCAACAGTATTTATTTCAGGGCCATAGGAACACTTAGTTTATGAACACTTGGCTTAACTCTCCCCAAGTGCAGGTAGATTCTGGAGAAAGTATATAGTACACATGAGCTCTCTTCACTGCTAAGGTTTATAATCACTGATTCATCAAACAAGGTAAAGTTTTGTGTTTGAGATAAATTCCCTCATCTGTTGTCATGATTGACAGGTCCATTTGGTTGATTTTATGGGGGAAGGGAACAGGAACAGAGATTGACTCACAGTACAGAGTCCTCAGGTTGAAGGCTACTTTGTATGACCGCCCATGAGCATCTTCTATTGTCACATAATCTCTTCAGAACAGTGTTTTTAGATTTATAATGGACAGCTAAGGCTCTTCCCTGAACATCAACACAGTTATTCTTTAAACACGGCTCTATTTCTTTGGTGAAGCCTCCTTTGAGGTGCTAAATTTAGTACTGCCAATCAGAGGAACAGGTGGTATGTGACACTACCAAATAGGTCCCTCTCCCATCATGCTTCCCGAAGAGAGCCAATCACAGGGAGCCCTGCAGGAGGATGTGGCCTGTCAGCAGATCTGGGGAATATAAAGGCAGGGGCCTGACGCTGGCTCTTGAGCAGTCGTGCATTCCCAGCCTCGCCTCGGGTGTAGGGATTGCATAGAAAAGCAAAACTACACAGTCTTAACTGTGTAGTTTTGTTTTTAAGATTAGAGGCTCACTGATTCATGTTGAGATGGTCGAAAAAACCAACTCGCTATAGGACGTCGTTTCAAAAGCAACCTTGGGCTTAGTCCCATCCTTTTCGGGCACTCGTGAGAAATCAGGTGAGTAGCATCTTTTTTGGTTTTTAATAGTAGAGTCCCTTTCTTACTCATTTCTAGCTCCTGACTATCTTTGAATGACAAATGCCTATACAAAGTGTTGGTCTAACTACTTCTCACTGGTGATCTACTCTCTGAATCAGCTTGTTAAGATCCATTTTAAAAATATGTGAACATTTTCCTCTAAAAGGTTTAATGCTTTTGCATAACAGCATGGTCAATGATTCAAATTGTTTAAATGCACCTAATATTCTAAATGTGTTCAAGTTAAGGTTTGCAAGGATCACAGAAATGTTTGCTTTTTTGTAATAGGCTCGTTTTGTCTGTTGAGAATGTTCAAGGTTATAGTACTCAGTGATAAAGTGAGACACACCAAGAATAGCTCTGATAAAATGCATGTGGTATCAGCTACACCCTGATGACTTTTTAAGGGAATCAACTGCTGAGGTATCAGTTGCAAGACAGTGACAGAACACTTGCCTGCTGTCAGTCAACATTGGCGAGTTTATTTTGGGGGCATGACATTTTAGCTGCATACCATCAGCCCTAGTTTGACAAAGGCCTCTAAAGAGCAAGTGCTAAAACACCAAAATGTATGTAGATGATAGGAATTAAAAACAATTTAGGCCAGACAATATATTTAGAAATTTGGGGTTAAGCTGTGTAATTATCTCTTAAAATATTCAGAATCTTATTATGATATATTTTAATTCAACTCATAATCAAATTATATAATTTCAGCTAAATGTTGATGCTAAGAAGAGTAAGAAATAATATATTAGAGACTTTTTTTCTAAATACACTTTGATTTCCATCTTCCTAGAATTAAATTACTAACTTTTACATACTGCTAAATACATAGATATATAATACATAAGTAGAGTTTAAGACTATGGCTTTTTTTAGAAGATGCACTAGCTTGCAAATAGAAAAAGTTAGATACTAATAGATAATATGCTACAATAATTAGAAACTCTTGACAAAAGTTTCATAATAACTTTTGGATATCATCTGAATTTTCCAAACACAAATTTTATTATTTCAGAGAATTTTAGTTTAATTTCCTATGTAACTAAGCAGAAATTTACAATAAGGCACAGAATTATCATTAGGAAAATTATTGCTCCATAAAATTTTAGTTATCAAAAAAACTATGAAAAATAGTGTGAAGCAATTAGCAGTTGAAAATCTGCTTTTTATTTCAAAATAGGGGAAAAGTCACACAGAATTACAAGGTTTTTATGCATCAAAATATTGTTCACATCATCTCTCTGATAGACAAATGACTTTCTTCTACTTAAAAAAAGGCACTTGACTGAAAATTTCTTATTCATTTCTTTGATTTTGAATGTTTATGTTATATATAAAGCATAGCTCTTTTCATCTACATTTTACACCAATCTTCCAATTTTATTTTACCATTTGCATATTTTTTCCTTATTAAGATTTCAAATCAGTGTTTTTCTTTCAGTGCAATAAAAATTTGACTACCCATATACACTTGAGTTTTCCTGAATATCCACTTTAGCAGTAGCAACATTTATTTATTGAGCAATTACAATATGAAGAAATATTGAGAAATAACAAAGCACTGCATGCTATCTACAAAAAGTTTGCATATTTGACAAGGTTTGCCAAAACTTTTAAAGGAAGGAATTTCAAAATTCAATTTTTTTAATTTAGTCATTATTTGAAACGATCACCTGATTATTTAAAGTAATATCTAAATCTATGTTAACTTTATAAATATACAGTGGGTAAAAAATATGTGGAGGAAAGAAATAATTACAATAATTGTCTCTCAAACATTGAACTGGTGTGCAGAAACTCATTTTACACTTTTAACACATTGTTTATTATTTTCACCACCCCACCCCACCCCCCACAATCCCCAGATTTCCCTTTTGGTAAGACTGGGTTTCATTCTTTGACCACTAGGGTGCATTCCTTGCTCGGCTTGTCTATTCTTTTTTACATTTTCATTTAAATTTGTTAATATATTGGGCTTCAAGGCAACTCAGATGCCAACTGGTCAGATTCAAGCCTCAGAGGAGAAGGCCTGAACATCGCCTATGCCCACAGGCGACTTGCAGAGCAAGCTGTGTAGAAACTGGGTGTCTCTGTCACTTACAAAGTAGCTCCAGCATTGCCCTGAGCTATAACATGCTAACTGATTTCTCTTCCTTTTCAGAGTGCCTGAAAAGATGACAACTCAAGCACCGACGTTTAAGCAGCCGTTACAAAGTGTTGTGGTACTGGAGGGTAGTACCGCAACCTTTGAGGCTCACGTTAGTGGTAAGCTTCCACCTGCACACTTTCCTCTGCTTTCTTCATCTCCCCTCCAGCAGGCTGACTTTGCTCTAGGGCTTGGTGGCATGCTCTTAAGCCCTGCTTTTCCTTTGTAAAATTGGTCCAACTCTATGGAAGGGTCGTTATAAAGGTGTACTGCTCACAAAGTGCTGACAAAATCTGACACTATAATGGTGTGGAAATGTTTTATTCATATTCATAATTATGCATAGCAATATATTTGCATTGAATTAAAATTCCTGTCAGAATCCAGCTGCTAAGTAGGGCCATATTTGTTTATCCCACACTTGGGTTCATCTGCAGAGCCAGACTGGAAGCCCAGGATTTAAGCCCAAGCCCGGCCATAGAGCTGCTGGGCAGGTGACCTGCCTCCATTGTTTTATATGGGAAACAGTGATACAATTGACTTTCCTCAGAAGCAGAACTTTTCACTGAAAATTAACTAAAAGCTAACTCCTAATTTTTTAATCTTTTATTTTTAATATTTATTAACTCTAGTAAATTAGAAGATGTTCCAATCATTCTGAAATGACCACAAATAAGATAGGCCCTTCTGGTCTGAGGATTAAAGAGAAATAAGTATTGGCCTTAGAATTTTATTTTTTTAGAATTTTATTTTAAAGTAAGTTATTTCTTTTTTCCCTTTATAACTCAGTTCAGGGACAGTTCCGGAAAAATGAATGTTTTCTGGGGCCTATCCTTTTGTGAAAAAGATGGGAATAATATACAATATTATAAATAGTCCTAAAATTATTTAATATTCTCTTCTGTGTTATCATAACTGTTCATGGAATCATAACTGGTCATATAAGAGTATATGGGTGAAATGAAAATCATACTTGATGAATCTGCATGGTACAGTGCCTTTTTTTAATTTTATGGCTTATAATATAGATATAAAGTAAGATTTACTTTTCCTTTCTCTTTTATGTACCAATCCTATTCATAACTGGGTAGTACTTTATTTTAGATTGCACAGTGTAAGCGCAGGAATGGCCACGGAGCAGGTTTTCTATGATCCCATGCAGACGGGATAAGGGAGGAGAGAGTCCTGGAGACTCTCTCCAGTGCGGGTTTTCAGGCTTTTATTGGGATTTACCAGGTACATGGCAGGCAGGGGTCCTGGGGGTCAGGAGGCTGGGAATCCTCCTGGCCCCCAGCAAATCTTCACTCTTTCTGGGCTTTCTGGAGTTCTCTCTGCTTCTCTGCTCTCAGCTTCTCTGCTCCTGCTGGCGTCCCCATGATGCCACCCTTAAAAGCCCAGTCTTAGCCCAGGTGAATCCCATCTACATGTGCCCACACCCTACTCCAGGTGCCCGCCATCAGGCATGCATTCAAGACTGCAGGGTTCTGTCATCTATCCTAATGGCGGGAGGGCAGAAAAGCCTGACACTTTTACCTTCCCTACACACAGGTACCATGTAATCACTATTTTCTGTCATATATGCATAGAGAGGCCATTTCAACCCTTCTAGATGTGTCATAAACTCTGACTTCCAAATAATTTACGTGCAAATCTTGCAATGCCCAGTTACCACTGAACTGAGCAAAACACATATGGTGTCACTGGGAACATTGCCTTGTAGAGTAGTAGAATCTGGCTTCTTCATAGCTTCTTGTTCCATCACACTATGTGCTAATAAATTCTTAGAAAAACACCGCTGAAAATATTTCATACCCATGAATTAGTCAAATAAACTATTCACTTGGCCACAGTGGGAGATTGGCTACTATAAGAAAAATAAAATAAAACTTTCTCTTGGTCATCTGCACCTCTTCAGTTTAAAAAGAAAAATCATCAGCCGGTAGGACAAATGCCAAATAAACAGTGCTCTAAATTTGCCTCATGCCTTCTGAGCACACAGAATTTTAATCTACTGAAACCATCAAACCGTGCTCATGTAGTGCTTAGCTCTACAATCCATGGTGGGTGAAGCAAATCTGACTTTTCTACCTGCAATTCCAATTACACATGTTTCCAGATACTAGGTTTGGCATTGTGAAGAAATGCTCTCCACCATTTAGCATTTTTCCTAATTGCTCCTTTGAAACGCAACAGAGTTTAGGAAGGTGGTTTCCCTGCAATTGCTTGTTAAACAGAACTTTCAGAGCCCTTTGCTGCCTTTGCTCTTCACTTGTTTGAAAGATACAGTAGCCATCTTTTATTTCAGTTTCCTGGTTTCTTGTATAAATCTCTTTCATGATTATAATGATGTCTATTAAATTGCATCAGATAGAGCCTTGTGCATAAGATGGAAATCTTGTTCTCTGTATGCTACTGCTCACAGAAGGTCCTTGGAAGAATAAGCCAGCCTCTTTTGGCCTCTGTTCCCTCCCCTCTAAAATGAAGGTGATGGCTTCCACGTGGACCCACAGACCTTCCTTATGATCTGCACGTTCACACTTTGTCTTGTTGCTGGCAGGTTTTCACTATAGCTTTTACAGGTTAGGACAAGGTAATGAACATACTAGACAGGACAGAACTTTGCACTGCCTCATTCAAACATGACATTGAGTTGTTTTTGTTTTCCAGGTTTCCCAGTTCCTGAGGTGAGCTGGTTTAGGGATGGCCAGGTGATTTCTACTTCCACTCTGCCCGGCGTGCAGATCTCTTTTAGCGATGGCCGCGCTAAACTGACGATCCCCGCCGTGACAAAAGCCAACAGTGGACGATACTCCCTGAGAGCCACCAATGGATCTGGACAAGCGACTAGTACTGCTGAGCTTCTCGTGACAGGTAGGTTGGAGGAGGCTGTCCATCCCTTGCACCCCACTGCACACAGGGCATCACCAGTATGTGGGGAGGGGTCGGTAAATGCCACGGTTGTTGTAGCTGTGAGGAAGAGAATAGCCCACTGGAGGCTGAATTGATAGCATAGTACTTTGTTTTATGGAATTTAATTTAACTTTCAAAATGCAACACAAAAGGGACTGAGAATCAGTTCCTCTGTACACTTATTAACACTCAAAAGTATACTAAAGAAATGATTTAAATCATATTTTTGAATAAGTAGAAAAAATTCATACCTTGTTTGTAAGCCTACTAAGTAAGGAGAGAGATCTCTGGAAATTCACATTTTTAATAAACATCTAGATGATTCTGATGCAGGTGGTCCTTTTAAAAACTACCCATTTAAGAAATACTGTTCTTAATATAATGTTTAATGATTTGTGCTTTGCTTTCCATTTCTAACTGTATATACACAGCAAATATGCATAAAAGAAGGCAAATGCTTCTTTTTGATTCAAAATCATGGCACAGTTTCCCCAGAAAAATTATCACCAGCTTCATGACATGTCACTTTTCTCCATTCATTTCTGCACAGTAAAACACAAAACATTGGTAATGCACATTGTATTACTTTACACATTACACAACAATATTTTTCATTGCCTTCTTAGTGTTACATACATTTATTCAGTAAGCTATTTCTTCAGCACTGTTCAATTATAGGACTGCAGTTGACCTAAACAGAAGGCACATCAGGTAACCTCAGGTATGAAGTTTAACATCAGTTCAGAAAATTCAGAAATGGAAAATGCACAAGCTCGGTAGCATCTGCTGTTTATTACACACACACAAAAATCAAAATTAATCCCTTTCACCCTTCATATCCTATAAAAATTTTCTTTCAACATCATTCACCGTAAAATCCCTTCTGTGGCATAACTCACATTAAACCTTGTCATTATGTGGATTAATATTTTAAATGCAAGTAAATATTTGGGTTATTTGAATCCTGGTCAAATTGAAAACTATCTCAGGGTAATTTTAAATTAAATTGACATTAGATGGTTCTGTACCTCATAGTTGTGTCTATCAAACCAACCTTTGCTGTTCTTTTTTATGCAACTTACAGAAATATGTAAAGTTGTCTTAACATGTTAATATTGTGCTAGATATAAGATTGGGAGGAAATACCAGAAAGATTCTCTAGAAGTTTTATAACAAGACCTAGGCTTTTTCTTTACCAAAAAACCTGGTCTCCTAGAACTGCTAAACAAAATAAAGCAATTGAAGGTGGCAGGATTGCCTTCTGCCACCTCCTGGCTCCACTTTCTGCTGTCATCTGCTGGATAAGCTGGGCTCAAGGACAGTCAAGGAGACTTGGTTCAGTGAGTCCTCACCACCTGTTTTTGGGACTGGAGCTGTGATTGTTTAAAAATAGCCTGTTGGGAGTACCCTGGCTGGCAGGCCTGATTTTCATCTCTTCTCCCTGCAGCCGAGACAGCGCCACCCAACTTTGTTCAACGACTGCAGAGCATGACTGTGAGACAAGGAAGCCAAGTGAGACTCCAAGTCAGAGTGACTGGAATCCCTACACCTGTGGTGAAGTTCTACCGGGACGGAGCCGAAATCCAGAGCTCCCTTGATTTTCAAATTTCACAAGAAGGCGACCTCTACAGCTTACTGATTTCAGAAGCATACCCTGAAGACTCTGGGACCTATTCAGTAAATGCCACCAATAGCGTTGGAAGAGCTACTTCGACTGCTGAATTGCTGGTTCAAGGTATGTACTAGAGGTTGAAGAACAGATAAAAAAGGGGGGAGGGATGATTTAAGATGAAATGGGCCAGGGATGCCCCTACCTCCACTCCAAGGTCCTGCTGATGGTGTGAGCTGAAACCAAAGCTGGCTTTTTAACATCCATGAAAAGAAAAGTCACTGGGTTTCTAAGCTGGAGCTGAGAATCATTGAAGCAGTATGTGGTTATTTATTAACCCCAATATAAGTGAGAAAATATTGCCATCAAGTCATTTATGTTTTCAATTACTGGCAAATAATGCAATTTTAAAATTATTCTAAATAAATTTTTATCTAATAATGAATATTTTCAGCTTTTCAACTTTTAAAACTGATTTATGTTCATACAATGTCCCAAACATTCTGCATGTTCTTCCATTGAGACACCTAGAAAATTGGATTAACTGTGTTATCATAATTGGCACAATCCCTTTAAAAATGATACAGTTTGCCCCCAACTAAATATTTATTTTCCCCCTCCTATAGGTGAAGAAGTAGTACCCGCTAAAAAGACAAAGACAATAGTTTCGACTGCTCAGATTTCAGAAACACGACAGACCCGAATTGAAAAGGTATTTTTTCTTTACTGTTAGTTTTTTTTTTTAAAGATTTATTTTTATTTATTTATTTATTTATACAAGCACTGGGTACAGTCAGAAGCGCGGGAGGGTGAAAGAATTCACCAGAGCCACCAGAGCCAGAGCAGGGAGCAGAGCAGGCAGAGGGACCGAAGTGCGGGCGGCAGGAGAGGTCTGTGCGCCATGTGGGACCCTCCTCCAGTGGCCAGAGAGCAGCCAGGGATCGAACCGGCACTGCAGAGGCTGCGGGCAGCTTCGCAACCCAGCACTCAACCGCTGCGCCACTGGGGAGGCCCATTTACTGTTAGTTTTTTAACTTTTTAGATTGTTGCTTTGCCAACCATTCTTCCTCACCCTAGATTTTATTTTCATCTTTTACAGAAGATTGAAGCCCACTTTGATGCCAGATCAATTGCAACAGTTGAGATGGTCATAGATGAAACCACTGGGCAACAGCTGCCACATAAAACACCTCCCAGGATGCTTCCTAAACCAAAGTCAAGGTCTCCAACCCCACCATCCATTCCAGCCAAGACACAGTTGGCTCGACAGCAGTCTCCATCGCCAATAAGACACTCCCCTTCTCCGGTCAGACATGTGCGGGCACCGACCCCATCTCCTGTCAGGTAAAATCTTTTTAAAGAGATCAGGTGGGTGATGATGCATGGGTGAATTGGTGGAAGAAATTCTCTGGGGACTACACCTGCACAGGGGTGGTGGGGAGAGGGGGAAGCAAATGTTGTTCATGATGTAAAATATATATAAATAAATAAATTTTAAAAAAGAAAAAATAAAGAGCTCAGATAGGGTCAGTATGCATTTTTAAATTAAGTTTCACCCAAGAAGGACAGAAATAGAAGGAAGCAGTCAAAATGTAACATGTTGTAAAAGAGGTGAGTCAAAAGGCACTGAAATTATCTTTATATGTCCTCACTATTCATAAGTGTATTGGAGAACCTTTAAAACTCTAATTTTATTTTTTATTTTTATATCATTTAATAAATATCTACTTTAGGGGTCAAAGAAAAGAACAGTGGAATGAAAAGAGCACAGAATTTAGAGTTGGAAATGTTATGTTCTATAAACCTATCACTTGCGAAGTGTATGATTTGGGGAAATAATTCAAATAAAACAGTCTCTACAATGTATTGAGCACTTTGTCTAGTCAGTCACTTGGCTGGACCTCGTGTAATTATGGAACTGTGCATCTCATTAAATGTTTACACAACCTCTAAGAATCATCATTCCTAATTTCATCAATAAGTGACTGGAGCTAAAGATGTTAAATAATTTGCTTAAGGTCTTAGCAGTGTCATTTGCAATCTAAAAAGCATTGTAATAAGACTAATCTCCAGATGTGCAGTAAAGATTCAATGAGATAATTAGTTGAAGATGCTTTGTAAAGAGAAAAAAATTATACAAATATCCTTGTACTAAGGTAATAAGCGAAACCAATATTGCATAGTTTTATGTTACATTCTCTAGGACGTAAAGCAGATTCCTATGCTGAGTCAATAGGAACACATTTTTTTTTTATAATAAATTTTATTTTTATATTCCCCATACAATTGCAACCCCCCCATTCTGACCCCAATCCCTCCCCTCCCGCCCCCACCCCCAAAAAGTGTCTCTGGTTCATAGTTTTTTGTTGATTTTGATTTTACTTTCTTATAGTTATTCATTTTCCTGGTCCCTTATTTAAGTTTTCTAGATTCCTGCTATGAGTGAGACCATCCAGTATTTTTCTTTTTCTTTCTGGCTTATTTCACTGAGCATGATCCCTTCCAGTGCCATCCATGTTGCTGCAAATTGCATGTGTTTATCTTTTTTGAATGCTGAGTAATATTCCATGGTATATATGTACCACATCTTCTTGATCCAGTCATCTATTTTTGGGTATTTGGGCTGTTTCCAAAGCTTAGCTATTGTAAACAGTGCTGCTATAAACATAGGTGTGCAGGTGCTCTTTGGAATTGATGTTTCTGTGTCCTTTGGGTAAATACCTAGGAGTGGAATTGCTGGATCATATGGAAGCTCTATGTTTAGTAGGTCAAGAAATCTCCACACAGCTCTCCATAGTGGTTGGATCAGTTTGCACTCCCACCAACAGTGCAGGAGAGTTCCTTTTTCTCCACAACCTCGCCAACATTTGTTGATGAACACATTTTTTAAAGTGAGCATGTACCGTAAGGATTCAGAAATTATGTAGCCACGTGTAAGTTATCCACAGCAGGTTTGAAACTATAGGATTTGTTTTTACATGCTGCACTAGAAAATAGGCAAAAATCTGGAGTAAACAAAAAAGTATTTCTTGATCAATTTAAATAAAGTAAAAAAAATTAGAGTTCACCAAGAAAATTTTAAAAGAAGAATGAGATAGTTGACATAGAAACATTCACACTTACTCTGAAGTTATTCAACAGTATAATATTGGTAAATGAAGAGAAATATATCAGGAGAACAGAAAGGAGTCCAGAAAACAATTTAAGATATAGTGAATTCAACTTTTAGTCAAAGTGACCTTTTAGTTCAGTGAGGAAAAGGATATTTTACTCAACAAAAAAACGGTGGCCTGGTAAACTCTTGCTTCATCTGGAAGAAAACAAACATAAACCTCACCTCTTGTCATTTACAAGACAAATCTCCTGACTGAAGAGGTAAATTTAGAAACAAAACCCAAAAATACGTAAGAAGAAAATTTGGGGAAATATTGGTGAGGAAGCACTTTTTTTTTTTTTTTTTTTTTTTTTTTAAACATACTTTTTTTTTTTAAGATTTATTTTTATTTATTTATACAAGCACTGGGTACAGTCAGTAGCACGGGAGGGTGAGAGAATTCACCAGAGCCAGAGCGGGGAGCAGAGCAGGCAGAAGGACCGAAGGACACTGCTGAGGGGAGCAGCGGGCGGCAGGAGAGGTCTGCGCGCCATGTGGGACCCTCGCCCGGTGGCCGGGGGAGCAGCTGGGGATCGAACCGGCGCTGCAGAGGCCACAGGCAGCTTCGCAACCCAGCGCTCAACCACTGCGCCACCGGGGAG